ACACTGAAGTAAAGCTAGAAATGCTGGCAACTTAAGCTGAAAAAAGTACATTAATGCTTATTATTGGTGCAAAAAACCTCCAAAGTCACAGTTCTACAACTCTTCCACCATTTGGGTCTGGTTTAGATGGCTTTGAACTGCTTAGACCTCAGCAAAAGGTATCCTCACCTTATAAAGGGAACAGAGCTTGGGCTCAGGGAACGTAACATTAAAAATAAACCTTTTCGTTAGTCATGAGTGACCTCAGCTTGAACATGAGATTCTTCAAGAGCTGGATGCATCTACAAAGACATTTATGAACCTCTAAGGTACAGATCTGAGTCATCAGTTTCATGTGGTCAGAGGAGAAACAGAGAACCATAATTCACTGGCCACAAACACATGTTTTTCCTGTTACAAAAATCTCAGCCATCACAGGAGCTGGAATTCAGGTTATTTTCCACCTGGGGTTTTTTGTTTGTTTGTTTAGGCCTGTTGTTTTTAATCCTTCTGGACTTTAACCCAAAAAGTTTGCTACATGTGTTTTCTTTACCTTCTTGCTAAGGTTTTGCAAGATTTGAAAACATTAGAGTAAACTTCTTTGAGAGCAGACCACTACAGCAGTGTATTTCAGTCTGGCCAGGAACTTGCTGTCACATACTCATAACTAGAAAGAAAAATATTGCATTTTCACTTCAAAAGCCTATGAGTCACTCATATTTTACTATCAAAATATCTTTCACTAAGTTTCCTCCCCTTACGTTGATGGAAATACAGAAAACTAATGAAATAATAAAATTATTTCGAGTGTATTTTAACAAATCAGTTGGATCTATCCCTGATCCAAGACACTTCCTAGGAAAGGGGCAACAGTTATTCAGCCTTCACCACATGACACCACTCAAGGCATCAAACTGGAGAAGACTGGAATTCTCTAACAACTGAAGTTGACTGTGAAATAGATAAAAGTGAGTTGCAGTGAAAAAGTGACACCAACTAAGAGGTTGTTAATGGTATTTAATTATCAGCAAAGAAACTCATTTATATTCTTAATAACAACCTTAACACAAGAAATAAACAAAATACTAATTAAATCCTGAAGTCAAACATAGGAAACATACTGATCTTCCTCTACAGAGATTCCACACAGGAAGACTTGAAGGACTGAAAATTTGAGCAACAGAAACAGGATGAACATTGCTCACTGAAGTATGTGAATAGAGAAACAAGAGCAAAAAGCTCTTGTTAGTTTTCTGAAGTGGGATTTCAGCCGTACAAAACAGTGACAGAAGGACCTGAGTGCATTACCAAATACAGAATGCCATGAGGCTGATGCAGCCACTGGAACACACAGCCCCAGGATAAAGCAATCTGGCAATAAAAAAGGGTACATGGCTGCCATTGCACAGAGCACAGTACTTCACCTCAGGGGGAAGTTCAAACTGGAGCAGGTACAAAAACAGGCCACTAAAAAAGTCAGGATATGAAGTGCTTCTCTCAGTGTAGAGCAAGAGCTTCTGGTTCTGTTCCCTACCAAAAAACACCCCCAAGTTGGAGCAAGGCATGCATTAGCTTCTATAACTTAATTCCCTCCTTGTCCAGAAAGAAACAAAGTGATTGAGCTCATCACTTCCTGCAGGAGGGCAGCAGAGAAGGGACAGGAATGAAGTCCATGTCCCCATCTCTGTGCATGCCTAAAGACACCAGCACTCGTTTGTGTCACTGGAGTGAAGCCACTGCCAATGCTGGGGCAATCCCTAGGCCAGTCCCATGTGAGGCATCAGGGAGGAGCCTCCCCTGAGGCTCCATTCCTTTGGGGAGGAGCCTTGGAGAGGCAAGGAATGGATCCGACAGAGCAATCTCAGGCAATGGGCTGGGCTGATCATTTCCCAAGTTGGATTAGCTGAAGCCTCTCAGTGCACCGGTGCCTCTTCACAGGCAGAGCATCTCTGGAAACACCAGATGTTTCAACAACAAATTTCCTCTTGGATCAATTCTCTTCCCAAAGGCACAACCCACCCTACAACACAGACTGAGCCAGCCACTATTACCAGACCAATTCCTTGATTTCTACCCACAGTTTCTAAATTAAATACCCAAGTCAGTCTTCTTGCTGGTACAAACCAATAGATAACAACTCCAGTGATCTGAAAAATAGGAGAACTATTTCTTTTCATTGAGACAATCCTCACTTAATGTCTGGAAAGGTCGTTGCAAACATGCAGGTAGCTGCAGTACTGGTAAAACTGACAGAAACTGAATCCAGCACTAACTAATCCTCCAGTACCACCACCAAATGCAAGATGAATGACACTGGCATTCAGCAGAGGAAGATTCTCTGTCATTGAAAGAAAATTAGAATTTTTCAATAGACTACTGATCCTCAACTACAGCATGACCAGAAAAGCCTTTGAAAAACGCTTTTTGTTTTGCTTTGATTCAGCTCGATTCAGCTTTTTTTATTTAAAAGTGAGGTTATCAAATGATTTCAGTGTCCTGAAAAGTTTCAATGTCAGTTCAGCATCTCTTAAGCAGGTGAGATGCCACTAGACATCTAATTTCTTCCCTGGTCAACAGTGATCAAAGTTTTACATTCTGTAACTTTAAAAACTTTACATAACTTTTTAAAACTTTACATTTAAAACCATACAACTACTTAAGGCATGTGTTTAAATCATGCTCAATTCCTCTGCTGCTCCTCCCCGAGCACTTTGCCTGCAAGACCACAGCTCCCAACAACAAGCAATAATATTTAATAAGCTGTATATTCATTCCTGCAAACACAAGGGCAGAGCCTCTCCTTCAAGGTTAAAGTGGTTTCTTTCTGGCTATGCCAGCAAATCCATTTAAACTGTAGTATAACCAGAATTCCCAAAGTCATAGAATCATGTAGGTTGGAAAACATCCTTTAAGATCAAGTTCTTCCAGACAAGCATCATTTTGTTCTACATATTAAACACTAAGACAACCTTTAGCTCTATGTGCATGTTCATCCCACAGAGTGTTATGGTCTTGTCCCAGCAATTTTCAAGATTTCCATCTTCAGTCCATCCCCAAAAACCCACCCTCCCATATATTTCTTATTAATTTTTCTCTTTTTGAGAGGCTGATCTTAAATCACAGGTCAAAGCCTCTCCTTTCCAATTCAGACTGTATTCCAGCTCTCTCCCAGACCACAGGAATATAAAGTTAGCAAGCAAAAACCAAAAATTCCATAGCAAGACAGCATATTAGGACCAGAGTCCCTCAGACCAAGGTCAGCACACCAGAGAACAACCCCATTGCTGGATTACAAGGCTTACAAAAGCAGATAAAATTGTTTTCACTGATGACAAGCACTTTTACACAACATCTTAAAAACAGCCAAATGCAAGGTCACGCGTTTGTAAAACACCAGCCCAGCAACAAGAACGGGAATTTGTATCAGGGAAGGCATTAAGGACTTTGGGCAGCACTGCAGATGCCACGTGAACATTAATTCCTGACACGAGTCTGTAGCAAAAGGGACTAATGGGAGCCTTGGAAAGGAATATCAAGGAGAAAGACAATACTCTGTGTTTATATCTCATCACTGAGATCAATAATGGACTGTCACCCCTTTCCTCAGGGACCAACACTTTAATAAGATTTTAAAAGCCAGAAATGCCAGTAGAAATAACTACAAGACCATCAGAGACTTGAAAGAGGCATCCTAAGGGCAAACTTGTTTTTATAAGAAAGGTAAAGGGATGGCTTAATTATCACCAGAGATCACAAATTAGAAAAGAAACCAGTCCTTTTTCACATCTAACACAGAAAATATACGGAAAAACAAAACAATTTGGAGTTCAGTTAAAAACCTGTTTTTAGAGGTTTTCTTCATTTTGGAAAGTGGAGATAATTGAGGATATTAATAATTAACAACTAAGGCAACTCTGTCACTTGTTGATAGGGGGTGAGTTCAGGATACATCAATCAAAGGTCAGTAAATGCAGCACAATCGATGATGGGATGAGTCTGGACAACCCATGATGACCTCGTTGTGCTGTGATCCCAGCAGTCCTCCTGAATTCCAGCACCAAGGACAGCTTATCCAAAAGGTGTACCAAAAACATCACACCTAAACCACAACAAACTTGACTGTCAGCAACTAGAGGAATTCCACAGGCTGCAGCTGGATGCCATATGGCCAATAGAGGATGGGATGAGTTGTTACAGCAGCACAAACCGATGGCTGTAACAGCTCCTGCCAACTCCCAAATTCCTAAAGGCAGGCGATTAGGGCAGCAGGTGACACCTTTCCCCTAAAACAGCAGGTGACACAGCCCAGCATTCCAGAGGTCAGGGGCAGGACAGGTTGCCCAGCTGCCAAAAAACACAGAGCCCACAGGCACCTGACAGAGGCAGGGCAGGGGGGCACTGACCCTTCTCCACATTTCACCCAGTAACTGCCCAGCCTCTCCCACACCAGGACCTGTTCTTCCCCCAGACTTGGGCTCAGCTTCTCCTCTTTAGCTGCAACTTTCCTTCGCCCATACCTCGTGCTAAAGCTACCCGCAAACCTCACCCTCCAGGCCCTCCTTATCTAACTCATCACTCCAAACCTGCAAGCCCAGACCCTCTGCCCCAAGCAACGCCCCGCAAATCTGTTCATGAACCACTTCCCCAAACACAGCCCCAAGTGATGGTGCCTTGTCCCTAAACTTCCTGCCCCACTAACACCCCCAAGTCCTGCAATATAGACCTCCGTCAAACGCAGCCCTCCAAACCCTGCTGTAGATAACCTTCTCACACATAGCCGCCCCAAACTCTCCTGCAGAGACCCTGCTCACACACGGCCCTCCCAAAATCTGCTGCGCAGAGGCCTCTCACACACAGAACGCCGCTCACACACAGCTCCGGTCGCACTCCCACCGCTGCGGCCTCCGCGCGCAGGCCTCAGCGCGGGGAACGCACAGGCCCCACACAGGCCCAGCCGCCCGCCCACCCCCAGACCCCAGCCCGGAGCGCGTTCCAGGCGCGGTGCCGAGCCCGGCACTCACTCGGGCAGGTAGGTGGAAGAGAAGCTGCTCCAGCGGTGCAGGCTATAGCCCAACACGCGACTCTCAGCGCCCGCCGGACCCGCCGCCGCCGCCATCTTGTTGTCAGCAGCGGCCCCGGCAGCGACCGCGGGGGGCGGGGCCAAGCTCTTAAAGGGGCCGCGCTCTTAAAGGGGCCGCGCTCTTAAAGGGGCCGCGCCGGAGGGGGTGGGGGCGGTCTGAGGGGGTTCAGGGGCGGCTGAGGGGTTCAGACGCTGCCGCTTGGGGCTGAAGTGCCGTGAGGGGTTCAGGAGTGCCCTGTGGGGCTGACAGGATGCCCTGAGAGGCTCAGAGGCTGTCCCATGGATCTGAGGGGCTCGGAGGGGCTGAAGTGATGTCTCAATGGTTTGAGGTGAGCTGAGAAGTTTGGGGAATGCACTATGGGGCTTGAGAGGGATGCCCTGAGGGGCTGAGATGGGCTGAGGAGTGTTATTTACCAAAATTCATTCCCTGGCTCCAGGCAAGTGGGTGATTGGGAAAGGGATCAAGAGAAATCCAGTGAGGTTCGATCCTACACCAGCTCCTGGAATTATAAAATTGTTAAGGTTGGAAAAGACCTTTAAGACCATCAAGTCCAACCATCAACACAGCAGTGATAGGACCAGCACATAAGCTGGGGATTCTTTGACAAGCTTCTCTCTGTCTGAGGCTGTTGTATAGGGCTTTTCCTGAAGAAGGGCGATGTTTTCACCCAGAGCTCCCACCAAAGCAAGGGAGAAAGTTGGGACACCCCTGGGGGAGCTCTGAGCTACTTGAGAAAGAAAGGGAGATATTTCAAGACCAGGGGGAGGGGGGAAAAAAGCCAAACCAATAAACCACTGTCTGTTGGAAATGACAGATTGGAGAGATATTATGAGGCAGGACAGCAGGATGCCTGGCTAGATTAAATTAGCACAAGGATTCTTTTTTTTTTCCCCTTTTATTTTAGGAAAGTGAGTGAGAATGTGGCAGCAAAATCTGCCTGCGGATGAAAAACTCGCTCAGCAGCCTTGAAGGCTGAACATCAACTGAGTGTTTCAAAAGTGAGGGGGAGCAGAAAGCACTTCATCTCAAGACCCCCTCCCAGAGGGGGGTTGCTGTGTTTTCAATGGTATCAAAGCCATACAGCTCAGCAAACAAAACATAACAAATCCATGGATGAGGCATAAATATCCACATCTTCTGCTGCTTTGCTAACAAGGCCTTTTGAAGTTTGTGGCCTTCCTGTAGCATTTCAGGCTTCACTTATCCCAGCTCCAGCCTGCAGGCATCCCCTCCCAAAATTACCACAGGAGTAATAAAACAAATACTTTGCTGATAATATACTCCCAACCCCAGAGGAAGAGACGCCACCTCAACGTTCAGAGCCTCGCTAACAAGCAGAACAAGGGGAGTGATGCTGTGTGAAACCTGTGACCTCTGAATGTGAAATTTAGGGGATTGAGAGTGGGAGTAACAGCCCTGCAGCAGCCGGGAGGAAAAGGAGGAAGAGCCAGCAGCTTGCTGCTGCACTGTGAAACCACCCCAGGATTTCTCTGCCCAATATCCTGTTACCACTTGAATCAAGACCTGGATGCCAAGCCAGCGTATTTTTAGCACATTTTGGACTTAAATTGAAGGGAATGCTGGTGAAATACGCAGTACTGACAGCTCTGGAAAATCTTTATTCATCTGCAGCACAGGCAGCAGGGAAGGCTGTGAGGAAGCAGAGAAATCCAAAGCTGCAAACCAAGCCCTCTGGTCCCTTCGGCACAGCCTGCCCAGTCCTGTGCAGTTACCAGTGGCTGCTGGAGAAGAGGGTTTTTCCACACTCTGAGTGGACAGAGCCCGGTGGGGAGGAGCCTGATGAGCAGGGCAGTGTTATGCTGCAGATTTGGACAACCTGCAGCCTCCAGATGAGCTCTCTATACCCCAACCAGGGCAGCTGCTGGAGCCCAGTTGGTGACGAGGCTGTAGAAGAGGGGGAGAAAACTCAGAAAACACGAGGAACTGAACCCCACTGTGCTGGTCCAGGCCTGTGCTGTGCTTGCTCTGCCAATGTAACACTGGATCTGAGGAATGTGGGGAGCCCAATGGCACCAACATGCCTCATCCTGCCTCCAGCAGTGACTGAGACCTATTGCTCCAGGGAAGTACTGCAAAGAGGGCACTTACACATAGAATCACAGAATCATTAAGGTTGGAAAAGACCTCTAAAATTATCAAGCAATGCCAAAACCACCATTAAACTGTGTCCCCAACTGCCACATCTACATGATTTTTGAACACATAGGGATGGTGATTCCACCACTACCCAGAGCAGCGGTTTCAGTGCTTGACAACACTTTCAGTGAAGAAATTTTCTGTAATGTCCAATCTAAAGCTCCCATGGAACGACTTGAGGCCGTTATTTCTCATCCTATTTTTGGGAGCAGACACCTCACCTGGCTGCCCTCTCCTGTCAGGGAGTTGTGGAGAGTGAGAAGTTCTGCCCTGAGCCTCCTTTTCTCCAGGCTGAGCCCCGCCAGCTCCCCCAGCTGCTCCTCATCAGACTTGTGCTCCAGGTCCTTTACAAGCTTACTTGTCCTTATGAAGCAAACCCCGTGCAGAGTTTTCCTGCTTCTACCCCCCTCACTTGGGACCTCACTGAAACCCTCCAGCACATTTTGGTGCCTCCCAGCCCAGAGCTGGCTGGGTGGATCTGTGCTGCCTGTGGCTGGCTGCTCTCTGAGGATGGGGCCGCAGAAGGGAAGTGAGAGCTTTCCTAGCAGCAGAAGGTCCCTTTGGCGTTCAGGGACCAGCCTGCCAGAGAGCTCAGAGGTCCCTGGCTGTGTGCCTTGGACAGTAGCTGGAGTTTCTGGGAAAGGCCAAGGTGACCACAAGAGATGTTCCCCACGTCTTTTTGCCAGGAGGATGCGCACACAGCGTTCATGTGCTTGTCATCAGCGAGGGAGCTGGAACCCCAAGTGCAGGAAACTCGGGGATTTGACAATTGTTTGTGTCAGCCTCGAGATGAATATCTCATCCCCCCGCATCAGAAACTCGCTCCTCTACTGCGCGTGTTTCCAGTTTCCTCATGCAAAACCTCGCGTGGGCGTTTGGATATGTAATGAGCACATAGTTCAGGATGAAAACAAGTTTCGTGGAAGAGCCAAGTAACGCCAGAAAAATGAAAGCAATACAAACAACAACATGGCACGCAGCCATACCAGCCAGCTCGTGGGCCAGCCGGATCTCACGTCCTCCCCGGAGCTGCGGAGCCGATCAGCTGTTGGAAAAAGAGACCTTTAAAGACAAGCGAGAGAGGAAATAGCATTGGCAGCACAGGCCGCTGCATGTTTCCTTCCAAAGCAGGACAGAGCCAAGGACATTAGGCAGAGCTGTAACATTTGGGGTCTTGTTGCTCAGCCATGAAGCAAGGCAGAAACCTCAAGTGGGCTGCAGTTGTGTAAATTCTCATTGTTTAGGGAGCGGAAGCAGAGCGCTGGCCCAGCAGTGTATTGTCCTACCAGATTTTGGCGGTGCTCACCTAACCGAGCTCCTCCTGCAAGGAAAGGGCCTCGTTTAACTCAGACATGGTGCAAAGGGAATCCAACCTCCTGCCTGCACCAGACCCAGGCTAAGAGCTTCTTCCCAAGCCAAACACCTGTTGCCTCCCATAACACCTTCAAAGAAAAACATTTCTCACCTGTGTGCAAGGCTGGAGCAGGACCAGAGGGCATTCCAAAAACTCCTCAAACTGGCCTCACTCATCTTCATCTCTCATTTTGATGACATGATGGAAAAAAGTGGCAAGGCTCATTGGGACCCATTTCCTGTTGGGCTGCCATGCACATCCACACCAAAAAGGGATGAGAGCAAACCTCAAAACCAGATGATGTTTTATTTCTCCCCTTGGAGAGAGAGATCATCTGTGCCTCCTTACAATGCAGTAAAACAATACCTACTTCAGTGTAATAAAATACCTCTTCTGATCTAGGCCCTGATCCAAGCATCTGCTCCTGGGCTAAACACTCCAATACCTGCTTAAGTCCTCTTCACTGCCTCTTGCAGCATCCGTCCTTTGGTTGAAGCTTTAAATCACTGAAAGACCTCACTGACAATCCAGAAGATTGAAAGGGGCCCAAAATGCCAGCGCCTCCACGTACACATTGGCATAATTCTCTGCATAAAAGCCAGCTTCAAAAGGCTTGTTTTGCAAAGCACAAGTGTGCATTTTTTTCGAATCAAGGTCAGTAACTCAGCTTCATTCACCAGTCTCCAGCTGCAAAACAACATGCCCCAGACAATGGAGGAGAGTGTATCTGAGTCAGAAGATGCCTTTTAAGGGATGCAAGTGGCTCTGAGCCACACTGGGGAAAGAAGATCTCCTTGGTACCCTTGCCCTGTCTGAACTGAAATAGGGCACCCAAGGGCAGGGAAACACAGTGAGATGGGAATGGTGGCACAAATCACACTCACACTCTTCATCATTTGGTAAAATCACAGAATGGTTTGGGTTGGAAGGGACCTTTAAAGATCATCAAGTCCCAACCTCACCTGCCATGAACAGGGATATCTTCCACTAGATCATGTTGCTCAAAGCCTTATCCAGCCTGGCCTTGGACACTGCCAGGGTTGGGTCATCTACATTCTCCCACTGGTGTTCCAGTTCCTCACCACCCTCACACTAAAAATTTTTTCCTATCATCTAGCCTAAATTTCCCCTCTTTCACTTTGTACCCATTACTCCTTGCCCTATCATTACATACAATTCCTGATGAAGAATCCTTCTCCAACTTCCCCGTAGTTCCCATTTGGATACTGAAAGGTTGCTATGTGATCTTCACACAACCTTCTCTTCTCCAGGCTGAATAGCCCAAACTTCCTCAGCCTGCCTTCATAAGAGAGATGTTCCAGCCCTCTTGCCAAATCTGTGGCCCTCCTGTGGACTTTGCTCCAAAAATACTATATCCTTTTTCTTTGGAAAATGCAGTTTTCCGACATCACCTCCGTGCCACTCTCCCTTTGCCCACCGGTGACGCGCCACCACGCTCAGCTCCACTCCACAATTCAGCACTCGTAGGAAGCAGACTAGACACTCCCAGCTGTGCCTCAGGCTAAAAATATT